TTAAAAAAACCCATTAACCAACTAGCTATTGGCCAAACCAGAAATCCAAGAGACTCTCAGCAACTCCTTGTATCTGTGAGCTACAGTAGAAACCTGGCTTCTGACTGGCTGTCTCAGTATTCCTCCAGTACCACTCACCATCGTATTATATGTAGGCACATGAAAGCCACTGCCTCTAGGCTAAGACATACACTAACATCATCTCTGCCAATGGCTATTGCTGTTGCTGCCAACAAAGAGAATGCTGGGAAACACTGCAGTATCAAATAGTATTCACCGTGCCTGCTTTCAAATGTTGTGTGAACTAGAAACGAGAACACTGAGGGATATCTTTGCCATGGAGGTGTCAATAAAGAGGGGTACTCATTTGAATATTTACACAAATGCTAGCGCACAGTAAAGTCCTGATGATGCAGTGGCTATCAACTCGGCCGAAAAATTACCTCCTGCTGCAATTGACACACGACAGGGCGAGTGACAATATGTCAGACCCTTAAAAAACCAGACTGGCATGGAAAGAAGAAAGTAAACAATTGCTAAGGGAAGGATATTGCTCATCTCCTTTCACCATTGTTTCTGAAAGAGCATGCAGCAATATGTTTTCAATTACTTTTTTAGATTTATATTAAAAATGTCTGTCCCCTGAAAAAGTGAAAAATATTGCGCTCAATCTAACCCTGAGCATCCTATTCTAGTGTCAGTCATTTTTTCCACCTGAAGAGCAATGATTTTGCACAATAACCTTGAACTTGAGTCAGTATATTATCTGAGTTAAACAAGATAGCATTTGATCCATACCACTTCTTGAACTACTGTAATATATTTAGTACACAGGTGAACCATTTGTGCTTGTATTCCCCTGGCTTTCCAGGGAAATATGGCATAGTAACACCAAACATCATACCAAGCTCTTTGTGTGCCTGTCTGCCTGCTGCTTGTTTACACATTTTTTATTGAACCAAATAATGCCCTGACTTCCCTTTATCAATATAACAATGACTGTTAATATTTGAGTTACTTCCATTCTTACATAATTTGTCTTCATAACTTCATGTACTTTCTGCATATCTATATGCATCATTTGTCTGTATATTCTTAGCCATACCTTGCAACTATTCATTTGAATTAAAATTGAATGGGTTTAAGAAAAGACATGTGGACATTAAATTGGTGAATGAACCCATTGATTCTAAGTATGGGTATTTGCTGATACACACTGTGAGTGCTGGCACGTGTGACCTGGGATGTGCGTACAAACCCTCAAAATACAGTGAAACATGGAGACCAATGAAATTCAGTTGTTTAAGGGAAATTTCTAATACGGGGGTAGCAGAGTTGCACTCCCTGTCCCTAGAAACCCTTTCAGGTCTTAAGACAGGACTTTGCATAATACAAATGCTTGTACAGGCTTCATTGGTCAACAGCTACAATAACAATGCAAACTTAAAATATAAAAAAGAACATTTAAAACGGAGATTGAAACCCCATATTGAAGTACTACAGTGTTTGGTCTATAGCTTGTACAGTATACCGTGGTTCACACGCCATTTCAGAGTGTGGCGGGGAATGGACAGGCAACGTTATTATCTATTAGTAAGGCTACGATTTTGGCACAGATATTTTTATTAAAAGGCATGGACTAGGATGCGGGCAATAAAAAGTATCTCCTGGATTTATTGAAGCCAGAGCCGGAGCCCCTGAAGCTGTGCTGCTGGAGCCCTTCAGTGTAGACACTGAAGCCTGAGCCCCACCACCCGGGACTGACTTATTGGAATTTTCAAGCCGTCACGGAGGTCTTGTAAAATCACAGACGCTGTGACCTCCATGACAGAGTCATAGCCTGAGCTATTCGTTGCCTTCCAACATGCCTCTATGAGCAATGGGTCTCATCCAAACGCCAGTGAAGTCAATTGAAAGACTTTCCATTGGGACAATCTGTGCATTGGCTTCAATAGACTTTAGCTCAGACCCAATACCATTCTCAAGCTTTCACTAGCTACAGGTGCTATGTCACCAGGACCTGCACAGAGGGTGGATTTAGATAAACACAGGCCCTGATCCAAAATCCAGTGATTTCAGTGAGCTTTGGGTCAGGTCCATAATTGGAGAAATTAATTCCCGGAAGTCTATTGAAATCAATGGAGTTACCCCAGGAATTAGTTTGGTCCATCGACTAATATAATTTTTTTTTCTTCAGTAATCAAGCGGCATCAAGTCAATTACTTAGGCTCCAGAGGGCATTCCATGCCAAACTTTTTTTTTTTTACGGTATGGCAACTTTTGTCTTTTCCACAATTTCCCTTTAAAATAATAAAGCTATAGATCAGCTGGTGTAAAACCGTTTGGTTGCATCTGATTTTACACCAAAGGAAGATCTGTCTTTACCTGTAAAAAAATTACAGAGTATACCAGGGTTTATTTTTTATTATATCTCATATAACAAGATTTCTAATTCTGTATGAATTGCTGACACACAATAGTGAGTTATATTTGTGAAAATAAAAAAAAAAACAGGCTACAATGTGTCCAGAAAATATGCCCAAATACCGAAGCCACAATTGTACATCCAGTGTTGACTGGTTGTAAATGGAAAAGATGATACAAAATCACAAAGGAGCAAACTAACACATAACAGCTGCTAAGTACAGTACAGAAGAGAGACTGTTGCATACAGAAAGAATTCCCTTATTGAATAATTAAGTAGGTTTTGATCAGAGCCTTGAAAACTTGACAAGCAAATGCATATTAAATGCTGTTATACTGAGAAAATCTCTGGTTATGAACTCACTTTAAAAAAGGGTAGTGCACAGCATACTGATGAACCAAATATTTCTTTTGATATTAACATAGCTAAATTCATTTTTGTTTGATTTCAGCTATGATTCTAATATAAATTGAATGTATCATTTGATTATAACAACATTTCTTCACCTTGTTTTAGATTCTGTATATTATACATTGGAATTTCCTACTCAGACTTGAGTATTTTCTTCCAGACATCTTTATCTAGTCATTTTTCCATAAAGTTAGTGTTCTGGCATTATTGTGCAGACTGACATGCCTGTTTTACATTATAATGATTGTAAAGAAATACCTGGTGTGATTTGGAGCAGCAGGTAGTAGTACTACAAATTGCTTACATCCCTCTGCTTTTGGAATTAAGATTTCAAATTTAAATGCATTATTACTGCATAATACGAATGGAGTGCATGACACTTTGCATATATATATATATAATGACAGGTTTCAGAGTAGCAGCCATGTTAATCTGTATCCACAAAAAGAGCAGGATTTGTAGTAATAATCAAGATGGCCTATTTAGACAGTTGACAAGAAGGTGTGAGTCTATTGAATCTATTTCCCTAAGTTACGTATCCTCACACCTTCTTGTCAGCTGTCTAAATGGGCCATCTTGATTATCACTACAAAAGTTTTTTTCTCCTGCTGATAATAGCTCATCTTAACTAATTAGCCTCTCACAGTTTGTATGGCAACTTCCACCTTCTCTGTAGGTATATATGTATATCATCTTACTATTTGTTCCATTCTATGCATCCGATGAAGTGAGCTGTAGCCCACAAAAGCTTATGCTTTAATACATTTGTTAGTCTCTGAGGTGCCCCAAGTACTCCTGTTCTTTTTGCATACATATAGGGTGACAAAGTCCCTGTTCTGAGGAGTTTGTAATCGAAGGAAATAGTTTTCAATGGGACTCCTCACTGAGTAACTTTATTCATACAGGTAATTGTTAACGGCTCAAGTCTGCTATCTTTTAGCCTGTTTTGAAGCGTCCTAACACCTGGTATGCAGCCTTTTTATAAGCCTGGTTATTTAAACAAATCTACCACTGCTATGTGGGAGGCTGTGTTGAATTAATTTGCACTTAACTAGAAATGTCTATAGCAATTCTCAAAGGTCTATAGAAATAATTAAATCACAATGTTTAGATGCCACAGCTAGAGAACCCAGCGCTATCATTAGATTCCAGGATTGTCACCGTTCTGTGTGTGCCACTCTGAAGCCTGGAATGTCTGTTGAGTCACATGAAGCGATGGAAACTGCTACAAGCATGGCTGAGAGCTCATTTTGGTCTGAATGTCACCCAGTTGACTCTTCACTGGGTTTCGCTGGGTGTTATGAGCCAATTTTAAAGTGCGTAAATCATTTTTGGCTTTTTCTTACACACCCGTGAGAGCATGGGCACAACTACAAGTATTAGCTGCTGAGCTAGACGTTTAGCTCCCTAGCTAATGTGCCCCCTGAGCATAGAAGGATTTCTTTCTTGTGTATTACCAATGGCAATTATTAATCCTTATGATAGGCCACAGCTGGTTTTGAGGTGCTCATTGCTGCTGCACGTACAGAATGTGTAGGGGACTGTCCCCTGCAGGGCTCTGTATGAATCCAAAGCTTCTTTGGCCCCTGGGTGCAATGTGTGGGGTGAAGCGATATGGCTGTTTCTATGGGGTGCAGGGCCATTGCCCCTCTGCCCTGTGTGGTGGTGGGGAGGGAGAAGGGGAGTCAGGTGGCTCAGGGCCATTGCCCTCTACATGGTGTGAGATGTTTGGGGTGCAGGGCCATTACCCCTCTGTGGTGTGTGAGGACAGGTGGGGTATAGGGCCATCGCGGCTGGGTGTGGGATGAGGGGGTGAAGGGCCAGTGCCATCCAGCATGATGTGGGGAGGGGGAAGTGCAGTGTGATGGGTATGGGGCACAGCGTCTATGCCTCAGGGGCAGGGTAAGCAGTTGGGGCCATTGCCCCAAGTGTGGTGTGAGGAGTCAGGGCCATGGCCCCTGGCAGGGTGAGGGGATGCTTGGAGCAGGGCCATTGCCTCAGGGGTGCTGTGCTGCGCGTATCCCAGCTGACTGGTGACCCGGGGGCACTGTGTTGGGGAGAGGCGCTGACTGAACTGCTGCAGGGGCATATGGCCTGGGGTCCAGGCCAGCCCTGTCCATGTCGTACTGTCTCCTGAGCCCCCCCTCTTGTCCATTCCCTGCAGGTGGAAAAGCTGCACTGCGTCCTCCCCTCTCCAGCTGCCACCTGCCAACATGGTGCTGTCGGCCTGCCGGAGGGTGCTGCCCCTGGCCGCCCTAGCACTGCTCCTGCTCGTCTGCCTGGCTCCCGGTGAGTATGCGGCGTACCTGGTGCAGCAAGCAACACGCAGTGCCATGCAGGTGGGAACCAAGGGGAGAGGGAGGTGAGTGGGGATGTTGGGAAGATCCCCAGACACTCAGCAATGGGCGCCCATGCCCAGAGAACGGCTGCTCAGTGGGGAAGGGAGCTAGAGGGAGACCCAGTAACCCCACTCCTTTGAATTTTCCTGTAATTAAAGCCTCTCTCTGGGGCTAAAGGATTCCCTTTGTGTATTGCAGTGTCACACACAGGGGTCTGCCCTGAATCCTGACCTCAAACTTTGGGGGAGTTCATGATTCAGCGAGCATGGACCAAGCCCACTTCTCAGTTACCATCTCAGTGGGAAAGAATAACTGTGACAACTCTCGTTCCAGTTGCTCAGGGCCCACAGGGAAGCGAATGGTTTTATAGATAATGCACACTTTATAGACTCAGAGACTTTAAGACCAGAAGCGACCATCATGATCATCATGTCTGACCTCCTGCACATGGCAGGCCACAGAATCTCACCTACCCACTCCTGTAATAGACTGCTAACCACTGACTGAGTTACTGAAGTCCTCAAATCATGGTTTAAAGACTTCAAGTTACAGACAATCCACCATTTACACTAGTTTAAACCTCCAAGTGACCCGTGCCCCATGCTGCAGAGGAAGGCAAAAAAACCCCAGGGTCTCTGACAATCTGACCCAGGGGAAAATGCCTCTCATTTTGCAATATTCAGCATTAAAAAATGATGAAATCTAGAAGAGCTCTGCTGTAATTTAAACTAAAAGGAGAATTAAAAATGGAAGGGTATTTTTTTTCTCTTTCACTTTTCTAGTTCCACCCACACTTGTTCACGGGCATAACCATTTGCTCCAAGCCTTTCATTTTCTTTAAAAAATTGTCCTTATGTTCAGTGAGATATGTTAGATGACAAGCACATTATTCATTTTAGCAAAATTGTACAGTAAAAGCTTTGTTATCTGGCATGTTGGGGGAATGGGGGGTGCCGCTTAGTCAAAAATTCCGGTTAACTAAGAGTTATACTTACCAATGGAGGGAGGGAGTTTGGGTGTGGGAGGGGATGCAGAACACAGGCTCTGGGAGGGAGTTTGGGTGCAGGAGGGGGCTCGGAGCAGGGGGTTGGGGCATAGGAGGGCTTTTGGGGTGCCGGATCCGGGCGGCACTCAACTTGGGTGACTCCTCACAAGCGGCAACATGTCCCTGCTGCTCCAAGGCGGAGGTGTGGCCAGGTGGTTCTGCATGTTGCCTCCACTCGCAGGTGCCACCCCCATAGCTCCCATTGGCCGTGGTTCCTGGCCAATAGGAGCTGCAGAGCCAGCGCTTGGGGCAGGGGCAGCGAACAGAGCCCCCGTGGCCATTCCTCCACCTAGAAGCAAGAGGGATATGTCACCGCTTCTGGGGAGCCACATGGAGCCAGGTAGGGAGCCTGCCGGCTCATGCCAACTGGACTTTTAATTTGTATTGGGAGATATTAGAGAGGCCATTTTCTAGAGCTTTGGTAAAGTGCCGGATAACACAGCTTTTGCTGTGCTAAAGGAGTCTAAAGGTCCAAGGATCAAGACTGGGTCTGTTTGTAGATTTTTTCCTATCATCTTATTTAAAATTAACAAGTTTGGGAGCTGGGCATTCCAGTTATGCAAGCTGAGAATCAGATATGCTAAAGGAAACATGTAAAATTACTCAGACCCATAAGCTTGCTAAATGTGCTCTTTGTTCTGCCAAGCTAGTTAATAAAAAAAATGAATAGTGCAGCTGCTTGATGAGTTTTGCTGTGCTGAATTGCCACTGGATTATGGAGAGTTCAAAAGTCTTAGTTAAAATGTGGACAAAAATAGACTAGTCAATGGATTTTGTTGTCGTATTTACATACTGCCTGCCAACTCTCCTAAATATTAGGGCCAATTCTGCAGCTTTTACCCAGCCTGTTGCAGTCAATGGGAACTCTGATTGAGCGGGGACTGCAGGATCAAGTCCGTAAGATATAATTAAAAAAAATGCTTAGAAAAAATGACCCAATAAGTGCATGGACTAACATTTTCCAATATTACAACTGTATTTGCATAAAGTAAATACTGCAGCCTGTTTCATTTTTGCTTTTAAACAGAGAAGGTGTTTCCAGAACAATTACCCCATTATGGGCAGGCTTTAAAACAGTGGTGAATGCCACTGGGTATTAAAAGGCAGGATATTAAAATACGCTGGTGTGTAAATGTAAACACCTGATATTTTTGACTAAGAGGTTTACAATTCCTACAGAGAAATTGTTTTAGCGAGATTAAGTTCTGAAATGTTTAAAGACTTGCTAAGAGGAAAATTGTACCAAGTCTGCTTGCTAATATGCTTTTTATTCTGTGACAGAATTTTTCATGATTATGACAGCAACATGGACGTTACGTCCTGGTTCTGAAACCATGAAGAAGTCTTGATCTGCTAAAAAATAGAGCAGTTGCATGAGATAAGGTGATATCAGGTTTCAGTGTCGAGCACCCTTGTGAAAAGACGTTAGAATCATAAAGGCCTTCTCATAGCGTGTGTTCTACTTGAGTGTCAGTCCTGGAGCTAGGACAGATACTAATGGGACCTTGCTTTGTTAGCACACTATCCAGGAGTTATGCCTTTCGTATTTTTTTTCAAGTTACTATTTTTTGTCCAAGGTGCATAGTTAAAGAGTGTACTTAATCTTTATTTTTATTCTTCTAGATGGTTCAAGAGGGAATATACTTAAGCTGATGCTTCAAAAACGTGAAGGTAAAACCTCCTTAACAAACTGCAAAATTGTTATGTCAGCTTTTTAAGCAGGTTTAAATGCAGTTGTACCAGATGAAAATGCTAACGGATAAAAAATATTAGCTCACTCACCCATCTTTCCAATGAAAGCTAAGGCGCATGGGCAGAAACACCTGTCAGAGACACTTCTATGTACTAAAGTACAACACATGTATTATTGATTTTAGGGTTGTTAGGTGTTGTTAGGAAAGCCCGGTCGAAAAGTGACCCTGGTGGCTAAGGTCAGCACCACTGATCGGGCCATTAAAAGTCTGGTCGGCAGCAAAACGGCGCAGGCAGGCAGGCTCCCTACCCAGCTCTGTGCATCTCCCGGAAGCAGTGACATGTACCTCCTGCTGCTAGATGTAGGGGCGGGCAGGGAGGCTCCATGAGCACCGGCTCTGCAGCTCCCATTGGCCAGGAACCCTAGCCAATGGGAGCAGCATGGGCAGCTCTGGGCGGGGGCAACACACAGAGCTGCCTGACTGTGCTTCCGCCTAGGAGCCAGAGGGCCATGTTGCCGCTTCCTGGGAGCCGCCTGAGGTAAGTGCTACCCGGAGCCTTAACCCCGCATACTTTCCCACACCCCAACCCCCTGCCCCAGCCCAGATCCCCCTCCCACACCCAAACTCCTTCCTGGTGCTCACACCCCCTCCTCCACCCCAACCTCCTATCCCAGCTCAGAGCCCCTTCCTGCATCCCAAACCCCACATCCTCAGCCCCCACCTCAGAGCCCACTGTGATGGGTTCGGTCACAGAGTCCCCTCCTCCCCCTTGGCACTGCCAGCTGATGTGCTGAAACTACCTCTGAGCCTATTTTCTCTGATGGCTTGGGACTCCAGAGCCCTAACTTGTTGAGCCAGACACTCCATTCTGCTGCAACACAGATCCAGTCTGAACCGTGCCCCCAAAGCTGCAGGCTTTAACTGAAAACCACTCAGCAGGTTACCTATCTCCGACACCCAGCTCCCAGCAGGATCCAAATAAATTTGTTTTACTCTGTATAAAGTTTATACAGGGTAAACTCATGAATTGTCCACCCTCTATAACACTGATAGAGAGATATGCACAGCTGTTTGCTCCCCCAGGTATTAATCACTTACTCTGGGTTTACTAATAAACAAAAGTGATTTTTTAAAGTATAAAATGTAGGATTTAAGTGGTTTCAAGTAATAACAGACAGAACAAAGTAAGTTACCCAGCAAAATAAAACAAACCACGCAAGTCTAAGCCTAATACTTTAAGAAACTGAATACAGATAAATCTCACCCGCAGAGATGTCCAATAAGCTTTTTTCACAGACTAGACTTCTTCCTAGTCTGGGCCCAATCCTTTTCCCTGGTGCAGTCCTTGTTAGCTCCAGCTCAGGTCATAACTAGGGGATTTCTCATGACTGGCAGCCCCCTTTGTTCTGTCCCCCCCCCCTTTTATAACTTTGGCACAAGGCAGGAATCTTGTGTCTCTCTGGATCCACGCCTATCCTTCTAAATGGGAAAAGTACCAGGTTTAAGATGGATTCTAGTTCAGGTGACATGATCACATGTCACTGTAAGACCTCCTTCTTCATTACCTAGGAGCTGGAAGACACCAACACAGGAAGGCTTGCAGATAAACAAACCCATTCACCGGTCATTGATTCTGAAGCACCCTTAATGGCTTCCATTTAACATGTTTACAGCAGTAATACAAATTTTATATCTAACTCCAGAGAAATAATACATGCAAACAAATAGGATGAACACACTCAGTAGATCATAAGCGTTGTAATGATACCTTAGAAGAGACCTTTTGCATGAAGCATATTTTAGTTACATCATATTCACACTTATAAACATATTTCCATAAAACATATGGAGTGCAACGTCACACCCAACCCCCCTGCCCTGCTTGGAGCCCCCTCTCATGACCTGAACCCCTCATTTCTTGCCCCACTCCGGAGCCTGCACTCCCAGCCCAGAGCCTGTACACCCTCCCACCCGCAGAACCCCTTGGCAGCACCCCCCCCAGCACAGAGCCCCCTTCTGCACCCCAGAGACCACACCCCCAGGTGGAGCCTCACTCCCCTCCTGTACCCCAACCTGCTCCCTCAGCCCAGAGCCCGCATCCGCACCCTGTACCCCTCATTTCTGGTCCCACCCAAGCCAGAGCCCCCACCCGCTCTTGCACTCCAACCCCCCCTGCCCAATCCCGGTGAAAATGAGTTAGTGAACAAGGGTGGGGAGGATGAGTGGGATGACGTGAGTGTGGGGGGCAGGGCCTCGTCAAAGCAGTGGGGCAGGGCCTCAAGGAGTAGGACAAGGGTGTTCAGTTTTCTGCTATTAGAACTTTGGCAACCCTAGTTGTGCCTACACATGCCTGTCAGCTCTGAAACTGATATACATCTTGTTAATACAACATATGGATTACAGTCATCACACTGAAGCAAGAAGGGATCATCTCCATAACAGATAGATAGTAAACCAACAGAAAAAAAAGATCTTGGGCCCAATGTACCTACATTCTGTTCTACACACCTGAACGTCAAAGTGCCATGCATGCAGGCACCAAGAGATGCATCCATATCACAGAGCAGTCACAAGTTACATTAATTCCAGCCTGTAGGTACAGATGTAACCCATACACCTCCTGGGTGTGCTGTTCTGTCCCATCTAGTGGCATGGAGACCACTTAGAGAGAGAGAGATTAATGAGTCTGCTCGACAGCCTTCGCTAACAGCCAGTTGGCTTTTAGCTCATGCAGTAGAAGCTCATGCATTTAGCTCCAGCAGTCCCAGGTTTGCTCCTGCCCGCCAATGACCGGGGTCTGTCAGTGTCACACTGAGATTCCCCAAGGAGCAGTGATTCAGCACCAATCTCTGCTGTGATGGTAAGTGCAGAGCAGAAAAGGAACAAGTTAAAGCTGCTTGGGACACTTTTTTCTCCTTTGTCTCCACTCCTGGTAAAGGTGAACACACTGATTTGGCCCTGACTGTGCCTTCTTCCCGCCCCCGCCAAGGCACATTTTTTAAAAAAGGGCCTAATGTGCAAATGACCTGAAGTGGGCCAACATTAGGAGCCAAGGTGATGGCTGGGGGAGCTGGAGTGGGGAGAAGCAGGGCTGTACCAGATGGAGAGGCCAGTTGAAACACATGCAAAGCTGCAGCCCCTGCCCCTTACCAGCTGCCAACCTGCTCTGTGATTGAACCATAGACCGCCCCCACCTCCCCCCATTCAGATAGGACTCTGATGCCTGCTACTCCCAGATTCTGGGGAATCTTCCTATCTTCTTCTGGGTTTCTCAGTATCTTCGTACACTACTCCTGCTAGCAGTGGTGATGCCTCCCCGCCCCACTGCCCTGCACTAAGGGTCTGAGATCCTCTTTCCAGGTGCTCTCTAGCTCCGGTCTCAGCACTGGCTGCAAGCTAGAAGGACAGTGCAGAAGAGGCAGTTTCTGGCCTTCCTTGCCACAGCATCCCCTGTAGCAGACGAAGCAGTGCAGCAACAGCTGTGCTTGCTTGGCCAGCCACTGTGCAGTAGGAGAGATTTGGAGTGGCGTGGCTGTGGGAGGAGCTTTAGTAGCCAGCCCAAGGGGAGTGGTGTGGAGAATGAGGTGGTGTTGAAGAGACCATGAAGACATGTATGGCCAGTTATAGTTCTCACCAGCAAGGGGACCCCCACTGACTATGTCCCTGGTTCCGAAACATTTGAGTACTGCAGCCTCCCTACAGATATTTTAAAACTTGGTAGGTCCCCACAGCCAAATACCATTTTCTGTTTTGTTTTTTTTTAACCAACTCAGGACACTAGAGTTTTGATGGTTTTGTGACTTTATTAAACTACACACAAGTTAATTGTATAATCTGGTCTAATCCAGGATTTTAAAAATTGTAATTTGAAAATATGGATTTCTTGGCATGTTCGGACACAGCCTCAGATTTTAATGAGAAGAATGGGCCTGTTTCAGACGCAGCATTTGGTTGTATCTCTGATAGCATCATACATAAATTGTTTTCCAAATGTAAACAATTTCTGTGTTTAGTTTACACAGAAATCACTGCTGAAAACACAGACTCATGGAGATAACTTGAAGTGAATGGAAGTAGCCATTTCATAGCTTTATCTCTGAGTTCTCTGTACTCTCCTTTAAAAGAAATCCAGAGTTCCTGATTGGTTAGATTTGAAAACATGGCCTTCATAGAATCATAGAATCATAGAATATCAGGGTTGGAAGGGACCTCAGGAGGTCATCTAGTCCAACCCCCTGCTCAAAGCAGGACCAATCCCCAACTAAATCATCCCAGCCAGGGCTTTGTCAAGCCTTACCTTAAAAACTTCTAAGGAAGGAGATTCCACCACCTCTTGGGTGAATGCCATCTGGTCCCGGTGACTTGTTACTGTTAAGTTTCTCAATTAATTCCAAAGCCTCCTCTAGTGTCACTTCAGTCTGTGACAATTCCTCAGATTTGATACCTACCGAAGATGGCTCAGGTTTTGGGAATCTCCCTAACATCCTCAGCCATGAAGACTGAAGCAAAGAATTCATTTAGTTTCTCAGCATGTGATCACTTAATAATTTGAAGAAAGTTTGAGCCAAGCTACTTAAAATTGGAGTGGAGTCAACTGTTACCAGGTTTCAAATCCAAGTGGTGTCTGGAGACTTATGGGGCTGAGGGAGAGAGATGGGCAAAATCCAGAATGAAGTAAACTGACAATGTCTATTCTATTTGATTGATTGTGTGGGTTATTGTTACTACTCTGTTACTATTGCGTGCATAGTACAGCCAAGCACGAAGGTGGTGACTTATTGCTAAAGGCATTATTAGGCTCATACATTTTGGGCTGATTAAAAAAATTACTGGCATGTCATTTGGGGACTTCATTTCAGCTCCTGCGCCTGCTAAAACAGAGGTGTTAGTGAAAGAACACACGGCCAAGGAGTTCTTAGGCAGCCTGAAACGCCAGAGGCGCCAGCTGTGGGACAGGACTCAACCTGACGTACAGCAGTGGTATCAGCAATTCCTCTACCTGGGATTTGATGAAGCGGTGAGTACTAGTCTTACCCGTAGCAATGGGGACTTTGTGTATGTGCAAACATAGTGATACTAAGAATACATATCAATGAAAAAGTGGCTTATTCCTTTTTTTTCCACACATTTGACACTCTCGCACCTTTTGAAAATAGAGAATAATAAGTTGTGACGGATAAATGCAAACCCAGTAGTTACTTTTGATAGCTTGATTTAAAACCCTGTTCATAAAAAATTATCAAGAAAACATGTTCCAAAATTTTGAATCTCGTTGGGCTTCAATTTAATGAAATTGTCATCTGGTTTATATGGAAGAGTGTGTATGCAAGACAGACATACACCAAACAAAGTTACAAGTGTTGAAATGAGCATTGTGGTCTCAGTATATTACTTTTGGGTGTTTGGACAAATCACAAATCCACTCATAGTTTGGCATGATTGGCATTCTTCTGAGAAGAGGCAAGGAATTTGAATACCGGCTAGAGCATTGGCAGTTGTGGGTAGAGGCTTTTAAATCATGTAACTTTGATCAGTGCTGTAACTTTCTAATTTGCATGAGCACTAAAGGTACCTAGGCACCTAACTTCTGTAGAACTCAAGGGAAGTTAGACCGCTAAACAGCTACATTTTAAGTTAATTAGAAAGTTTAAAGTGTATACTATTTGAAGGCATTTGACAAGCCTCCTTTCAAATGACAGTATCCAGAAAAATAGTTAATTTGTAGGAATGTTGGGGTGAAAGAGTTCCAGTTCCTATGCATATTGCACAAAGCTGTAACTGAGAGATCACTGAAAGTGCAGAATAGACATATTTATAGCAACACAGTCCCAGCTCTAATATAAAGAAGAGGTAAAAAATAAAAAGAAAAGGAGTACTTGTGGCACCTTAGAGACTAACCAATTTATTTGAGCATGAGCTTTCGTGAGCTACAGCTCACTTCATCGGATGCATACTGTGGAAAGTGTAGAAGATCTTTTTATACACACAAAGCATGAAAAAATACCTCCTCCCACCCCACTCTCCTGCTGGTAATAGCTTATCTAAAGTGATCACTCTCCTTACAATGTGTATGATAATCAAGGTGGGCCATTTCCAGCACAAATCCAGGGTTTAACAAGAACGTCTGAGGAGGGGGGGAGGAAAAACCAAGGGGAAATAGGATACCTTGCATAATGACTTAGCCACTCCCAGTTTCTATTCAAGCCTAAGTTAATTGTATCCAATTTGCAAATGAATTCCAATTCAGCAGTCTCTCGCTGGAGTCCGGATCCTGGATTTGTGCTGGAATCTGTTTACTGCAATCATTTTGGAAGGCCCAATGATTTTTTTTTTTAAAAAACCTACCTTTTTTCAAAGCAGCAAAGGCTTAACATTCCTAAAACAAACCAGAAGAACCCGTTACTTTATTTTCCCTTGTTTTTTGCAAAAATGATTGTGGCTTTAGAATACAAATGCATTCTCTCTCACCTTTTGTCTGCAGAAATTTGAAGACGACATCTCCTACTGGACAAACTTGGGACGTGGTGGCAATGAATATTATGGCGGCTACTACCAGCACCATTACGATGAAGATGCACCTATTGGGCCCCGAAACCCACACACCTTCAGGCATGGAGCGAGTGTCAACTACGACGATTATTAACCTAATTTATTCTACTGTAACTAAGAATTGTAGGTCTGTATCGGATTGAGCGGAGCCCTAGCCTCACTCACTCGCATCCTCTCTCTCCCCCTTCCCCCCCTCTTTTTTTTTTTTTTTTAATAGTAGCTTTTTCTTATAAACAAAGAGAAGAAAGGAACTGCCTAGCACAGAAGCCTATTTGGAATGGGCTTCTATAATTACTTAATAGTACACTATGTAGAAGTGTTAGAATTAAAGTCTTTTGGTAAAATAAGCATTTTTCTATTGCTTGGGTAGACAGAGTTTGCAATAGCTGAGTTCATTTCAAAGCACTGCATTATTAGAGATTACATTTTCAAGGGCTTTTTACTCATTCTTAAAAACTGATTGCCTGATTTCACCCAGTTTTGGTGGATTTTATAAGACAATGCGTTTCAATGTGCTCAGTTATTTTGGTCTGTTGTCAGTACAGTAAATAAATCCCACACTCTTAGAGGAAGATATGTTTCCTCAAATTTAAACATCTTCCAGGGTCCTTTCCCTAAATTTCCATTTTCAGCATCCTCTAATGCATAATACATGTTAAATACTATAGCACTTTTATAGTTCATGTTGCGTCCTTTACAGCTTGGCTGTAGAAGTTTAACCTGGGCTGAAACTTGGCATAAAATTATCAAAGGAGCTATTTTAAAGTTGTGAGTGTAAAAATAATAGATGTTTAAAGTGTCTCTCCATCACTATATAATCAGGTATAAAAATATGTTGTCCCATGAAATTAATAGTGATGAAATAGCACCAGACAGTGCCCTCTGCCGTGGTCATGGGAAGTACAGCTTGGATACGATCACATTATGCTCTTAAAAGGGAACAGAAAGCTATGATCAAAAAATTGTGTCTGAATGAAAATGGTAGCAAATTAATGAAGAAAAACATCCAGGATAGGAACTTATGGCACACTGGGGCTTGAAGTAAATAAGAATTTCCAACACCGTGCATAAGTATAATGTCTTTATGCCAGCCATCAAGTCGCCTAAGCCTTACCCATTACTGATCTTCTGTCTACAGCCCACCTCAGCAGATGTAGTGTGATGGAGAACCACCCAGCAGCCCAAGCAGTACACTAGTGCAGGGATGCGCTCCAGAGGCAGATGCTTGGAGATGAAAACAGATTTTTAAAAATGCTAGTTAGTTTTCCTTTGCACCTGACCCCACCTATCAAGTGTTTTTATGCAGATGAAAACTGGCTAAATTTATACACAGAAAATGTTTCCTTTTATGTTTTTGGATCATTTGCACATAGGCTCCCAGTCAGTTAAACTAAATTTAGTTAAATTGGTGTAACTTTCTCATGTAGACAAGGCCTCAGCTACCTTTTTACACTGCATTAAGTAAGCTTCTCTTGACACCATGTCTTACATGAGTGAAAAATGCTAGTTTTGGAAGCTTTTCTCACCCTTCTGTGTCCCCTGCTAAAAATCAGCAGGGCTTTAGAACACTCAACTGAAGTTGGTGATTCCCCCAGCAAAATTTCAGACCTCAACATCCCGTGAAAGGAAACATCATGAACAATTACAAGAATATTACATGGTCTTTCTGAACGTCCTTTGACACAAATTTAAACCAAAAAGGAACTATACTGCCCCATTTTTGGTCCTGAGATAAAGCTTTGGTTTTTAGAACGGATTTTAAACTACATATAGTATTAAAATAAGTTATTATACAAGTCTATGGAAATCCTCAACGTTACTTATTTAAACTTCTCCAAAATGGTTCTGGCCAGAAAAAACAGCTAACGAGAGGCCACGTTTTCCTCTTCTCATATGCAGACAATATAGATAGCCCATTGGTGAATCATAGAAATGTAGGCCTGAAAGTGACCGTGATAGGTCAACTACTCCAGCCGCCTGCACTGAGGCGGGACTAAGTGTGATGGGTTTGTTCACAGAGACCCCCGTGGGACTGTCACTTGGTGTGCTGGAATTACCTCTGAGCCCGTTTTCCACTGCCAGCCTGGGACTCCAGAACCCTGCCTTGTTGAGCCAGACATGCTAGCCTGCTGCAACACAGACCCAGGTCTGGCCCATGCCCCCAAAGCTGCAGACTTTAACCAAAAACTGCTCAGCAAGTCACCTATCTCCAGCACCCAGACACCCAGTTCCCAATGGGATCCAAACCCCAAATAAATCCATTTTACTCTGTATAAAGTTTATACAGGGTAAACTCATGAATTGTCCACTCTCTATAACACTAATAGAGAGATATGCACAGCTGTTTGCTCCCCCAGGTATTAATCACTTACTCTGGGTTTACTAATAAACAAAAGTGATTTTTTAAAGTATAAAATGTAGGATTTAAGTGGTTTCAAGTAATAAGAGACAGAACAAAGTAAGTTACCAAGCAAAATAAAACAAAACACGCAAGTCTAAGCCTAATACATTAAGAAACTGAATACAGGTAAATCTCACCCGCAGAGATGTTCCGATAAGCCTTTTTTCACAGACTAGACTTCTTCCTAGTCTGGGCCCAATCTTTTCCCTGGTGCAGTCCTTGTTAGCTCCAGCTCAGGTCGTAACTAGGGGATTTCTCATGACTGGCAGCCCCCTTTGTTCTGTTCCCCCCCTTTTATAGCTTTGGCACAAGGCAGGAATCTTGTGTCTCTCTGGATCCACACCTCTCCTTCTAAATGGGAAAAGCACCAGGTTTAAGATGGATTCCAGTTCAGGTGACATGATCACATGTCACTGTAAGACCTCCTTCTTCATTACCTAGGAGCTGGAAGACACCAACACAGGAAGGCTTGCAGGTAAACAAACCCATTCACCGGTCATTGATTCTGAAGCACCCTTAATGGCTTCCATTTAACATGTTTACAGCAGTAATACAAATTTTATATCTTATTCTCCTAACTCCAGACATAGAAATAATAAATGAAAACAAATAGGATGAACACACTCAGTAGATCATAAACTTTGTAATGATACCTTAGAAGAGACCTTTTGCATGAAGCATATTTTAGTTACATCATATTCACACTTATAAACATATTTCCATAAAACATATGGAGTGCAACGTCACACTAAGTACCTAACTCAGCCTTGACAGGTGTTTGGCTAACCTGTTCTTAAAAACCTCTAGTGATGGAGCTTCCACAACCTCCCTAGGTAATTTGTTCCAGTGCTTAGCTAACTTAATAGGAAGTTTTTCATAATGTCTCACCTAAATCTCCCTTGCTGCAATTTAAGCCCATTACTTCTTGTGCTGTCCTCAGCAGTTAAGGAGAAAACTTTATCAATCACCCTACAGAAGAAAATAAAACACCCATATTGGTCCAGGCCAATGGCCCATCTAGCCCCGTATCCTGTCTTTCAACAGTGGCCAATGCCAGGTGCTTCAGAGGTAATGAACAGAACACGCAATCATCGAGTGATCCTGTTGTCCACTCAAGCTTCTGACAACAGAGGCTAGCGATACTCAGAGCAAGGTGTTCCATCTCTGACCATTTGGCTAGTATCCATCGATGGACCTATCCTCCATGATCTTTTCTAGTTCTTTTTTGAATCCTGTTACAGGTTTGGCCTTCACAACATCCCCAGCAACAAGTTCCACAGGTTGACTGGGCATTGTATGAAGAAGTACTTCCTTTTGTTTTAAACCTGCTTCCTATTAATTTCATTGGGTGACTCCTGGTTCTTGTATTATGCGAAGGAGTAAATAACATTTCCTTATTCACTTTCTCCACGCCATCATGATTTTTATAGATCTCTATCATATCCCCCCTTAGTCGTCTCTTTTCCAAGCTGAAATGTCCCAGTCTTTTTAATCTCTCCTCCTATGGAGGCTGTTCTATGCCCCAATCCTTTTTGTTGCCCTTCTCTGTAATCCTGTCCTCGAAAGCGCTTGCAACTTCTCCCATCTTGGTATAACGGGCAAACTTTGTGTATGTATTCACTATGCTATTATCTAAATCATTTATGAAGATATTGATTAGAACTAGACCCAGGATAAATTCCTGCCAGAGCATAATTCATATACCTGTCCAGCTTGATTGTGAACCATTGATGATTACTCTCAGTGTATGCTTTTCTAACCAGTTGTGCACCCATTTCCTAGTAGGTTCATCTAGGCTTTATTTCACTAGTTTCCTTATCAGAAGGTCAAGTGAGGCAGTATCAACTGCCTCACTAAGATATATCACATCATCTGCTTCCCCACAATGCTTGTTACCCTGTCAAAGGATATTAGATTATTTGACATAATTTGTTCTTGACAAATCCATGTTGACTGCTCTTTATCGCCTTCTTTTCTTCGAGTTGCTTTGCTCCATTATCTTTCTAACTAGCAGAGTTAAGCTGATTGGTCTATAATTCTCCGAGTTGTACTTGTTCCCCTTTTGACAGAGAGGTACTATGTTTTCTCTTTGCCAGTCTTCTGGGATTGCTCCCATCCTCCATGAGGTCGCAAAGATAATTGCTAAAGGCTCAGAGATCTCTTCAGGCAGTTCCTTAAGTGTTCTAGAAAACAACATGCCTGGTCATCATGGTTGTTGAAATCACGTAGCTATCCTTATAAAATGGAAAAGCGGTCAATGTTCAGAGAGAGCTCCTAAAGAATATGAACAGTTTGGCTCTGATCCAGCTTTTAATGTTTCAGGACCTGACAAGGTCACATTCCTCCTGCATGCTGAATCAGTAATTCAGACCAAGCGGTGGTCCTACCAATTTTCTGAGAAAGTGTACAAAATGCCTGCGGGATCTCACTTCTTTTTCAAAGGACACCGCTAATAATGGACATGCCTACAGTGACAGAGAAACATTTTCAACAACTGTCTGTCCACTTCTCCCTCACACAAGAGGCAGGCTCCCAGCTACAGCTGGGCAACATTATTTAAAAAAAACAAAATGTAATTTTGGGTCAACTAAAACTGTTTGCAAATTCAGGATAAGACATTTCGGCCAAAAGTAAAAAGGGGTGAGGGTAGAGGAGAATGAAAACAAAACAAAACAGAATGAAACACTGATATTTTTGTTTTGAATTTAGCTAGAATTAGCTTTAAATTTTTTTTTTTATAAAAAACCCAACTCAACTAAAGCCATTTTTTGTTGTTTTGGCAAGAACCAACACCAAATTGTCATTTCAGGG